AAAAAAAAACAGAAGAAAAGAAAAGAAAATTAAAAAGTGAATAAACAATAGAACCTACCTCAAAAACAAAAGCAAAAACAAAGCCCATGTGTCTGATGCACTCGTGAGCATACGTCAGTATGTTTATATATTCACACACCAAACTATTAATAGTGGTTATCTTGGAGTGGGATGGGAGGGGGATGTTCATATTTTACTTATACACTTTTATGTGGTCTGATCTCATTGAAAGCAGCATTACTGATAATTAATTTTTTAAAATAGGGCTTTAAAAAATGAAATGTCCACAGGACATTAGCATGATTTATTTTTCTGCTGCTGACTCTTTGGTCATGAAGTAATCAAGCTCTTAATAACTACTCGCATTCATTGCATCATTCTCTTAATAAAAAGCTATTTTTAAAACAAATTAACACTTCCTTTGGAATTATAGTTTCTAAAGAAGGATCAAGGATGAACATTTAAAACGGAAAACAGCAGGGCGAAATAAGTCATGAACAGAACATTCAAATTAGCCGTGATCTCAACATGGGTCCTTTGATTATGGAAAGAAAAAAAAGATTTTTTAAAAGGACAAACTGTCTTTAAACATGTACATTGGGCGGATCTTTGTGGAAAGCTACTAAAAAAAGGCATCGTCAAGAGGAAAGGGATTTAACCAAATCCCCTACCTGTTACTGCATAATAGACTAGAGATAGCAGTCAAATTTGTTCTTCTAACCAGACAGTGCCCAGGTTCACCAGCCCATGAGAGAACGATCCTCACCTTACATCTTCTTCCTGGTCACCTGCACACCCATCCTCACCCTTGACCCACCCCCACCCTCTCTCGTCTATTTCTGATCTGTCACTTCCAGCCTTCTCCACTCTGTGACTGTGACCTGACCCTACCTTTCTGCAGGCCTTGAGTTATGCAACACCCCCACCCTCAGGCCCCCCTAAGTAGCCCTCCTGTTTGATAGAGAGTCATAGAGGTATGTTTCTGTGACATTAGTCCACAGCAGTGGTATTCACGTTGTTTTCTGTTTTTTTCTTTTTTCTTTGTTTCTTTCTTTTAATCAAACTCTTTCTTAACATCATAAGCAGGGCTGGGTGCAGTGGCTCACGCCTGTAATCCTAGCACTCTGGGAGGCTGAGGCGGGAGGATAACTCAAGGTCAGGAGTTCGAGACCAGCCTGAGCAACAGCGAGACCCCTGTCTCTACTAAAAAATACAAAGAAATTAGCTGGACAACTAAAAATATATAGAAAAAATTAACCTGGCATGGTGGCGCATGCCTGTAGTCCCAGCTACTCGGGAGGCTGAGGCAGTAGGATCACTGGAACCCAGGAGTTTGAGGTTGCTGTGAGCTGGGCTGACGCCACGGCACCCTAGCCCGGGCAACAGAGTGAGACTCTGTCTCAAAATAAAAAAAAAAAAAATCATAAGGAGGAGTCCATAAGACAGATACAGGCTGTTCTGGTTGAAATGGGGGCAAGGGCGGGAGCATTGCCCAGTTAGCCTTCCCCTCACACCCTGTAGGAGCACCTGAGTTCCTGGAAATCAGTTTGAAAACCACTGCCCAACAGTTTCCTTTATTGCACGTTTTCCTTACCAGGTCTGAGGAGTGTGCCCAAGATAGGGCTGTCAAATTTAGTAAATAAAAATATAGGATGCCAAGCTAAATTTGAACTTCAGATTTTAAAAAATGAATATTTTCGTATACCTATGTTCCATGCAAAAATGATTTGTTGTTTATCTGAAAAATCCTGCATTTTTTTTCTGGCAACCCTAGCCTTAGAGGAAATCAGGGAATTGAGTCACAAAGGACCTGGAATCAGAGATTAGAGAAAAATAGAGATTCTCCACGTCACAACTGTGACACTCACCCCAAGGATTTCTCTTGTGTAGAAGTACTTGTCGGCCTTCTCATATTTCAGGAAGGCATCCACAAACAGGAAAACATTCAGCCCCAGCCAAACAGCCTGCAGGAAGAAAAAAACAAACAAGGAAGAAAGTGGAATTTGGGTATGGAAAGGAGTAGATAAGGGATAATAGAAAATAGTTGCCGCCATCTGGGCTATTTTGTGTTTATCTGTTTTCATTTTAAATGACTACAATCCAGTCAGTATCTAATTTGCTTTCAGAGTGAGTTAGCACTTTGAGGCGTGCCCATTAGACACTAATGAGCAAACTAAGGCCCATGGGCCAAATCTGACTCACTACCTGTTTTGCATGGCCTGCAAGCTAAGAATAGTTTTTACATATTTTGTATTCACATTCTTAAATAGTTGATAAAATCAAAAGAAGAATATTTCAGGACATGAAAATAATATGAAATTCAAATTTCAGTGACCGTGAATAAAGTGGTATTGGACCTTAGCCACACCTACTCATTTCTATATTGTTTATGGCTGTGTTCATGATACAACGGCAGAGTTCAGCAGTTGGGACAGAGACCATATGGCTTGAAAAGTCTAAAATATGTACTATCTAGCTTTTTACAATTACATTTGTCAATTCCTGGACTACAGCATTCAAACTATTGTACCTATAAGATGGCAATAAGTGAATAAATGGATTTCTGAAGAAACAAAGAATAATTTTAGCATCTATAACAATGCCCATCTGAAAAGGACTAAACCATTCCAGATGGGCATGCCTCTTTAATTTAATTTAATTACATCCTGACACACATTTTCTTGTTTTCAGATTGTGAGTCTTTTTTCAAATTAACCTATTGTTTCTTTGGACTCATTTGAGCTCCTAAGACTACGTTCGCCTGTCCCAAGCTCGGTGTCTGTATTGGCTAAGGGGGAAATTTGGAACCCACTGCCCATTGCTTTGGAGACAACCCAGCTGGGCTCTAACCCAAGTTTGGAGGTGCTAGTCTGTAATTCAACAGGTCTACAGGGCACTGGGATGCCTCTAGGATATATTCCTTGCCCCAGGATGGGTCAGAACCATCTCAGCCCACAGGTAAAGGGGCCTTTAGCCTAAGACATGGTCCATTCAGATTCCCTAGATCTGGGCCACTCACACACCTCTAGTAGCATAGCATAGTGATTTAAAGTCTGATATTGCAGTCAAACTCCTTGGGCTCAAATTCTAGTGTCACCACTTAGTAGCTCTGTAATCTTAGACAGGTGTGTGATTTAACTTCTCTGAACCTCAATTTCTTCACTTGTAAAATGAGGATAATAACAGTATCTACCTCATAGTAATGCTATAAGGCTTATATGAGATAATACATGTAAAATGATTAATGCAATGCTTGGTGCATAGTAAGAACTCATTATTACCAAACTGGTAATAATGCATTATTACCAATCAATTTCTTCCTGCCTGCTTTGCTCAGATACCCTTTCCAGAGTTGGGCATCTTCCAGAAAAGTGTCTTTGATCCAATGGAAAAAGAAGAGTTGAAAGCCACAGATACCTTGAGAATTCGGAAGACAGGAGAGAAGCTTATTTAGAGGGAGCAGAAATATTTCTGGATCAGAGAGGGACACGGGGCAAAGAACCCTGTGTCAGCCCATCATGAATTATAGACAAGATAAATGATGAAATACAGTGACATCTAGGAGCAAGGAATTCCATTCCCCATCCTGGCTGTCATTTCCTCTACTGTGAATGAAAAAGAAGGTGAAGTACAAGACCTGGGAGGAAGGAGGAGTAAAAATATTTTTTGAATATTTATTTTTTATTAAAAAATAGTGCAGAGGAGTATATGTCAGAGATAGTGAGAAGTCTGAGCTTGCCACCAGGATTGGTGGGAAATGGAAACTGAAAGCTAGAGAGTACAATATGAGTCATGAGTCATCATCACCAAGGGTGATGAAATCCCCCAACAAAAAATAAGAGAGGACTAAAAAAACAACTCAGGTAGGCTGGGTGTGGTGGTTCACACCTATAATCTTAGCACTCTGGGAGGCCAAGGTAGGAGGATCGCTTGAGGTCAGGAGTTTGAGACCAGCCTGAGCAAAAGCGAGACCCTTGTCTCTACTAAAAATAGAAATAAATTAGCTGGGCAACTAAAAATAGAAACAAAAAATTAGCCAGGCATGGTGGCGCATGCCTGTAGTCCCAGCTACCCGGGAGGCTGAGGCAGGAGGATCGGCTTGAACCCAGGAGCTTGAGGTTGCTGTGAGCTAGGCTGACACCACGGCACTCTAGCCTGGGCAACAGAGCGAGACCCTGTCTCAAAAACAACAACAACAACAACAACAACGAAAAAACTCAGCTAAACGTGGAATTTAGAGCTAGAAACAACCTTATATTTGTATCTAATCTAGTTACTTTATTAATCCCCTGCTCCCTCCCAGCTTTCTCCCCCACCCCCCCAAACACACACACATACACATACACACGCACAGGGCCTGAAGTCTAGGGAAGCAAAATAATTTGATCAAGGTCACTCAGTTAATAGCAGAACTGAAAGAGTTTGCTAGGTTTCCCATCTTCTAAACTAGTGCTCTTTCCATTATAGTGCAAAAGGAACTAAATATAGAGCATCAAGTGTTATGTATAAGTCATGGAATAACCTGACAAAATAAACAACCCTCCAGGGGAACTCCATACATTTTTCCCTGGAGTGCCTGGGAAGTCCTATGGGACCCAGAGGAAAAACAAGAGGGACGAGAAAGAGCCCCTGAAGGATTGATAAATGAAATTCTAGGAAAGTGAGAAAGGACGCTGGGAGCCCCAGGCTCAGGCGTGGCTCAGAAATGGAAGAATGATAGCCCCTCAGGTGGGGTGGCGCAGGCCTGTAGACCTAGCTACTCCAAAGGCTGAGGCAGGAGGATTGCTTGAGCCCAGGAGCTTGAGGCTGTGGTGGGCTATGATGCCACTGCACTCTAGCCCGGGCGACAGAATGAGACCCTATCTCCAAAAAAAAAAAAGGAATGAGAGGTGGGGAAAGAAAGGTGGAAAGATGTGTGTGTGTGTGTGTGTGTGTGTGTGTGTGTGTGTTGGGAGGAAGGGATTGTGCATTCATAGGGTGGTACAGGAATTCTGACCTGAACATCAGGAAGCTGGATTTGAGCGATGGCTCTTCAATCAAGTCACTATGTGACATCTGGCTCTTATTTTCCTTTGTAAAATCAGTAAGTCGGTTTATATCTGCACTATGCAATGCCGTAGCCACTACCCACATGTGGCTACTGGGCACTTGAAATGTGACTAGTCCTCACTGAGATGTGCTGTGGGTGTAAAATACACATCAGATTTCAAAGACTTAGTAAAAATAAAAGAATATAAATTATCTCATTGATATTTTTAATATTGATTACATGCTGAAAGGATAATATTTTTGATATATTGGGTTTAATAAATGATATTGTTGGCAGGGCATGGTGGCCTATAATCCCAGGACTTTGGGAGGCTGAGGCAGGATTGCTTGAGGCCAGGAGTTCGAGATCAGGCTGAGCAACATAGCAAGACCCTGTCTCTACAAAAAATTTAAGAATTACCTAGTGGTGATGCACACGCCTGTAGTCCCAGGCAGTCCTGAGGCAGGAGGATCACTTTAGCCCAGGAGTTGGAGGTTGCAATGAACTATGATGACACCATTCTAGCCCAGGCAACAGAGTGAGACCCAATCACAAAAAAAAAAATTGTTAAAAATTAATTTTACCTGTTTCTTTTTACCTTTTTCAATATAGGTATTAGAAAATTTTAAAATTATATTATATGGCTCACGATATATTCCTAGTGAGCAGTGCTGTTCCAGATGATCTCTAAGATCACTTCCATCTCAAATATTCAAGATTTTATGAAATCCTGATGGAGCAGTATAGGAATGATAGAGAGAAACAAATGCCCCATGGCGATAGTTAGAAGTGAAATGGAAGAGAAAAGGAGAAGACAGAAAACGAAAACAGATTGAAATTCCAAACACCGATGGTTTGACAACATGAACAATGCCTATTATTTATCTCTGTCCCCTTATCCTTCTCAGAGTTGGATTACTGCGCCTTGATGAGCCCAGTAATTGTCATGGAATCTTTCCATTTCAAATAACTTTGCAAATCTTAACAAATATGATGTCTCCTTACTCCGTTAACCTTCCTAATTAATAGGAAGTCAAACATCACTTACCAGAAACAAAGCTGAGAACCAGTGGTTAACCACCCAGTTTCCCATAGTCAGGAGGTGGTTTGGAGCCTCTCTAGGCAGTAGGGCAGATTCAGCAACCTGGATTCTGTAGAGAGCCTTCAGGATTTGGACTTCTGTCCAGCTCAGGATCTGTGAGTCTTTAAGATTTGAAAAATGCCCAGCCTGAGCAACAGTGAGACCCCGTCTCTACTAAAAATAGAAAAAATTAGCCGGGCATGGTGGTGCATGCCTATAGTCCCAGCTACTCGGGAGGCTGAGGCAGGAGGATCGCTTGAGCCCAGGAGTTTGAGGTTGCTGTGAGCTAGGCT